AGATAAAGGATTCTAGATATTTGATCACATCTGCACTCGTGATCCAAATGTCACACTCTACATCCCCGGTACAAACCACCATATACCCCTAGGCATCTATACTCCAACTCACCAAAAGACACACAACACACTGCTAATGCATCCTAACCTACTATGCATGCAAGCAATTACACCAAGTAATCCCAATGTCTCAAATTCATGCAAATGCACATATCAAACACATTGAGATGTAGCAGATAATCATGCAACAAAATTTAGACAATCACACACATGCAGAAAAGGATCACACATAAATGTTTATGTAGTGACTAGGTTTACACTTAATAAACCTCATTGGGGTCATAACTCGACCCCTCAACCAACTTCGTCTCACCTCTCATCTTACCCTTTATCTTATCTTTCTTCTTGGGACAGTCCCTAATAAAGTGTCCAAACTTACTACAACTGTAACACCTTCTTCCACTAGACTTGTCCCTTTCCTTGCCCTTCTTCTTACTACCCTCATCACTCGAGTCACTACTCGAATCACTACCGTCTTGAGTTCTACCTAAATTTATTTGTTTAAACTTCATTCTACTCCTCATCATATGTAACTCGCCACTCTTCTTATCCTATTTTTCAACCTTAATCTCCATCTCCTTACTTCTAAGTGAGTCTATGACAATCTCGGGTGTTAAGGTATCCCTACCATACTTAATTACGTTCTTAACTTCCCTATATGAATTAGGCATGGAATTAAGCTGGATAATAGCCTTATACGTTTCAGATACCTCTTCATCATAATTAACAATGTCTTGAACTAACTTGTTAAAGACATCCAGATTGTCATCAAGATCCTTTGAAGGATCCATTTTAAAGCTGAAAAATCGTTCAAGTAAGTACAATTTATTAGGAGTTGACTTAAGCAAATATAAGTTCTCCAACTTTTTTCAAAGTTGTTTTGTAGAATCCAGTTTTCCTACTTTTCTCAAAACAGTATCAGGCAGGTGTAAAATAATTGAAGTGTATGCAAGTTCATCATACTCTTCTTTTTGTACTTCTGTTAAATTTGCAGGAAATTTGTCATCTATGACCTTTGAAACTTTTTGTTGGACCAAAGTACTCTTCATCTTTTGTTGTCAAATTGAAAAATCCCCTTTCCTATTAAAAGTTCCAACTTCAAAGTGTGAAGACATTTTTAAGGAGAAAATAAAAAACGGAACAACCAAGTCACAAATAAGTCACACAAAGTAATCCTAAGGTCACAATATACACCGTTCTAGATTCCCAGGGTTTCGTAAGATTCACGATCTTAGATCAAGGAAATGTTCGAACGCGTCAAGTCCAGGTGTTCTAATTGGATAATTAATGCAAACACGAAGGTATATAAACAAAAATTTCAAATTTTCACGCAACAAGTCTCACACAGTGACTAAATGATAGATAAGCACAAAATCAACTATCAACTTGCAATCAAAGTTCTACACTTCAAAAATAGAGCAAATAATTTCTTAATTTTCTAGCACAAGTAATAGTTGCCAAGCAATGACAACCCTCAATCCTATTGATTACTCCACACGATGATCTGCTAGTGCTGAAATTAAAACTGAGATAAGCCAATATACCAGAGCGGACCAATCTGAGTCCGTAAATTATGAGACACGCGAATTTAACACTTTAGGACCACTACTATTCGTCCTAAAGTCTTTGAAAATTACAGCAATCAAGAAATTACGATCGAGTCTTGAACGCTCAAAGAACAATGCTGTTTAGATTCTTCTGCGTACCCTGAAACAAAAAACTTTCAACACGAAAAATGTCAGATATAATGTGAGGAACAAACTGCCTAAAGAGACCGTCGCCAAATTCAGTCTCACATGCCCTCACGCGCGGCCTTTCCTCTCTGCACGCGCCCTCCACGCGCCGACGAAGTCTACACGCGACTGACTACCTTGATCGCCACCACCTGCACGTTATACCAGTGGTCTCCATTTTCCCAAACTGCTTCTCGATTGGTCAGAAAACACCAAAATAGGGGCTGATTTTTAACAGTTTTTCGATCTGATTTCTGCTACGTTTCTGTCGATTTTCTGGACGATTTCTGGTAGATTTCACGAGCCAAAACCTTCACCTTGAAGCTCTAATACCAATTTTTGCAGAAGCTCTCTTGAAAGAATCTTCAAACGGTGGTTTTTCAGGCTCAATCCAACGTACCTTTCTCTACCAACCACCAATCCAACCGACTCCAAACCACAACCAATATAACTCACCTCGATTGCTATTCAATCTTACCCACGTAGGAGAAGAAAGGATGATGATTTATGGCCATAAAGGCGAGGAGAAGACACCACAAAGGTATACTATGAAGGAACCACCAATTACAAAAATAAACAGGTGTTTTAGACACTTCTAGGGGCTATTTTTTCACTTACCAAGAGAGCAGCCAGGATTTTCCTTTTTCTCACACAAAGTCTCACAAAACATCACTTGAAAGTGGCTAGGGTTATAGCCAAATATATACTCTAGGGTTAGGCTTTAAGTTGGGCCATTAAAGGGGTAAACGTGCCAAGATTCAAGCTATCCATAAGGAATACAATTGGGCTGGGTGTAGTTCATGGATTTGGTTGTTAGACTTATTTCATTCGTCGACCTATGCCTATGAAATAATATTAACCCACGTTAACATCATAATCCGGGATTTATTGAGTATCAAAAACCCAATAGTTCAAATTTGGTTGGTGGTGGTAATGTGGGTGCAGTGGTGTTGGCGATGTGGTGAATTGGATTGTGGTGGAAATGGTGGTGAGATAGTGGGTTGTTTATTTTCGGTGGGTTTGATGGTGGCGGTAGTTGTGGTTTCTGGTGACGGTGGAGGTGGTGGTTGGTGGTTAGAGAGTTGATTATTTGTCGTTTTGTGTTAGCACTGGTATGTGACCAATTGTTTAACTGTGACCTAAGAATTTGACAATCTGTGACCAAATTTATAAGGTTTGGAGTTAAAGGATATTGACATAAGGGGATTCAGGATCCAAATATGTTTTTCATCATCATATTTCAATCAAACTAGCATTAATCACAATCTTGCATTGATTTTATTTAAGTTAGGTCTTTCATTTTTAATTATAATAGTTAGTAACAAAATTTAATCCTAGAAATATCGTCAATTTCTATTGTTTCGGTTAAGGCAAAGATAATATGAATTTAAACTAGTACAATTTCTGTGGGAATGATACTTGAACTCAAAATTTCATTTTACTAGTTAATAAACTGTGCAATTGCGGTGGATTTCAATCAAAATATATTTTCGTTAACAATAATAGCTAGCTACTTTCTTAGCCCTCACATAATGGCCATCAGAGAACCATGTTACATGACAACTAAGTTAGCCTACCTAAACCCGTTTTAGCTTACCAACGAAGTCCACAAAACATGCTTAGTGAATTAAAATCAATAACCTTTTTTAAACGCCATAGATCAACAAAATCGACATGCATATACTGCCAAAGCATACAACAAGTGTAAAAACAACAACGCAACTAACAATGTTATCACAAGTCTTTTTATATCATCTTCTTTAGTTTAATTTATTAAAAATGTTGAACACGTTGCGAGTATTTTAACCTCTCTTTTTTCAAAGTGAGTGCTTTAATTTAAGCCTAATATAACCAAGCAATTAAAAAAAAAGTACTTGTAAGAATATCAAACATAAATTTAAAAATCATTTCTAAACTGGGAAAAAAAGTTGGAGTTAGTTCTTATTTAAATGATATTAGAACCCGTCGCTGTCTCGGCTGTGCTACCAGAAGCTCTGGGGAAGTCGAAATAGGAGAGCACTCATTTTGATTTTCCTACCCGCAGAGGGAAAGGTACTTCCCTTTTGTCTTGGGCCGGTTGTGGGCGAGCATTTCTTCTTTTTAATATTTGCTAATTTTCTAATCTTTTAGCATTATAACTTGTTTTGTGATTATCTAACAGTTCAAGTACAGTTGATATAGTTGAAGCGTAGTCAAAATATGGTTTTTGGGGGTGGAATTTGTGGCGCGTCCTTCCCGATCCTCTCGTACTAGGGAAAGGTCCTCTCAATGCTCTAACGCCCACACTAGATATGGACTGAACTGGAGTTATAATCTAATCTATATATATATATATATATATATATATATATTTTTTTTTTGTACAATTCTACATTCCAAACAACAATTATTACAAACAAAAAGTGAAACACGATTAGACCTGGTCTAGTTATGTCTTACTAACATGTTAAGGGCTCGTTCGGTAGTGATTATGAGAATAGACTTTTTGACCGTTATAAATAAAAGTGGGGGCCATCTATGAGTGAAAAAGTAAAAAATGACAGTTAAAATAGTGAAATAACGATCAAAAAATCATTTTTTTGGGCGAAAAACACTACCAAACGGGGGCTAAATAAACCATTGCATCAAATATGCATCGAAATAGTATAATAATCAAATTTAAGCATGTTTATTTTTCTTAATATTGTTTAGCCCCTATTTGATTTAGCAAAAAAAATTGATATAAATTTAAATCAAAATTAACAATTAATTTTAACCACAAATTTCATAAAATTCATAACTTATATCAACTTTTCAACCATGCATTTCAGTAAGATCTATCAACATCTACCAAAAATATGATTTTTAACAAAATCAAACAGGAGTTTAATAGTACATTTACAGGTCAAAGAAACGATAACCGTATATTTTTAACAATATGATTTTTTTTCCCGACCGATAAAAAAAAGGTGCGAAAAAGGCAGATAACGTTTTAAGACACCACAATAGTACTGTAACTTGGACAGCTATAATACTTGTAAAATCCATATTTTAAAAACTTTTAAAGTAGATATTTCCAATCGTAAAGTGCTCTAATGTTCTTATATTCATTTATTACAACATTTTTGCGTTCATTGCATCGAAACAAAGTTACACATTACAACATTTATTCCAGTGGTAATTTACGCTTTCATACCGACTTCCAACAATAACGTAGCGTTAACCTATTTAACGTATGGTGTACGCTATGTAATCTCGTAATTGGGTCCACGACACATTCTCGTCCCCAACGGCATCCTCTTCTGCTGCAGGTTCGTCTTCCTCATCGGGTAACTCAACCTTGACTTCTTCATCGTCAACTTCCTTGGCCCTGTGGAATCCTTCATCAAGCTATCCGTTGCATTGTAGAAAATTATGGACTCCCATTGCTACCACGACCACAGCGATTTGGGCTCGATATGAATAACTAGGCATCGTATCTAGAATCTTCCATCTCTGCTTCCAGACTCCGAATGCATGCTCAATAATGTTTCGACATGACGAGTGATGAAAGTTGAACCTCTCGTGTGCATTATGAAATCGACGTCGAGCGCAGCATGATCGTGAAATTCTTGGAAGTGGTAACGTACATCCGACCCCTTGTACGGTGCCATATACCCCTGTCGATGTGCAAATCCTGAGTCAACTAAGTAATATTTCCCGTCAACCGGTTCCGAAAAGTGTATGTCTGGACTATGCACCGCGTGGGCCAGTATGCGACTGTCTTGCGTGGGCCCCATGCTTCCTGATAACACAAATGTGAAGCACAAGTTGAAATCGCAAGTGGCTAAGACGTTCTGAATGGGCACCCCTTTTCGGCCTATGAAGTTAATTCGTTTACGTCGTGGAAACACCGCCCGCACATGGGTCTCATCAATAGCTCCAATACAATCCTGTGACGTCTATTTTCAAAGCACGTCAAATACTCGAATAAATTACGGCAACAGTAATTTCCCCACCAAGATAACGTGTGGCAACATAAACATACCTGGAACAACGGATATCACTGCGGATCGGGGTGATGACTTGCAGTGCCACGGTTGTAGTTTTCATGAGTCCGGATCATGTCTGCTGCCAGCGCACCGACGGCGCGAAGCACGCGCTTGAAATAATGGCCGACAGTCTGCAGCGAATGTCCAAACAGCGTTTGCACTTGCCGATATCCCTTCCCGTGCGCCATAATACACAAAAACATTATGATCTGCTCGTACATATCGATGCTCGTATTGTTTTCCAATCCATAGCGATCTCTCAGAACGTGTACAAAGTGCCTGAACATGGGCAAGTACATTCTAAACTCCTGAAAGCACGTTTGCGGGTACAAATGCATATTCTGCAACATGAAGATATGGCCGTTTCGTGTTGTAGGAAATAAGTAACGGTGGGCCGGATCCGGCATGAGGTACTGGCGCACCATCCGCTTAGCAATACGACAATACTGTAGCCTCCAAGTGCTGCAATATGTCGTCATCCGGACCGTCGTCCGAACAAGAGTTCGACACGAGGTCACAATCTGTCTCCGATGACGTATGCGAACCAGACGTGTCTGTCATCTCCAAAAAACGATAGCACGGCACACAAATATATTCACTGTAATCCTCAGCGTCAAATTGCCACTGTGATTCGGATTATATTTGCATGACTTGGTACTCCGCCAATGAGGGGAATACCCTTCTTATAGCAGGAGCCTTTGCAATGCATGAAATCAATATTGTACAGTTAGTGCTGACAATTATTAATTCCAATGGCAGGCCTCTAGAACGTGCAGTGACTAAGCCATATATGCGTTGCATCACGTGGGAAATCTTCGCTTCGACAGAGCTACTGAAATTTTCCAAATTGTTAGGCGTTGGATTCCAACCTTCACGTAATAATGGAGTATGTGGGACAAAATTATTTATGTGCAAAGAATTGGTCTTCCTAAACTATAGACGTGGTTTGCTGTTATATGCAGTTCACGGATATACTGTTGATAATTATGGGGTCTACGCGAGCGCGTTTTATGGGAAAAATTATTTGCTTTTCTAGAGTCATTGCGAACTTGTCAGAGTAGGAAGACAGCGTTTACGTAGTGATTGATTGTGTGGTACGCAATTGTTTAAGTCCAAATTTTTTAATCTTTCCTAACCAATGACATCACATCAAGCTGTTAGGAGTAGAAGTATTTAACTTTAGTTAATAATTGAGTCCCTTGGAGGGACATATTTCTCTATCACTTGTTGCTTCATTACAGCTACGAGGCTATTTCTCTATGTTGCAGGAGTATATTTGAACCACTTCAAAAAAAATAATGTGTCCCTGATACACAGTTTTTAAAGTTTACAGTGTTTGATGTTACAGCAGTAAATGAATTTTAAACATTGTAGGACTATACGTTTTTGGTTATACGTTATAGTTGTGTATGTGGCCACGACGTGTTTCTGCCCGAATTTTTCGTTCTGCTAGATCTATTAACAGCCTTGATGTCATTATCGAGTACCCGAGAATGAAATAGTTCTTGATATGCATTACAACGATCATTACATTCAGTAGTACGAAATACATAGCGCACAGTTTAGTGTGCGAAACGTGCAAACAAGAAGTCGAACAACAAAGTTTTATTACAACAAGCCATATGGAAGATAATAGAAATAGCATACAAATGAACTCAAACCAACGACACATACAGTCGAAGCACGATCAGCGGCTCCCAGAACCCGACCTTTTGTCGCGTTCAAAATAATACGCGATCCACTTGTAGCGCATCTCCGGCGTTTTAGCTGCACTGTACGCAACACGATTTCTAGAATCTCAAACCCACGTTGAGACAGCTTCGTGGGTGTCAGTGCGTACTTCATGGAGTCACAACTACCTCCAAACAGATGGCTATATTTATGGTAGATCTCCATGTTGTCACTGTCCTTGAACTTTACAGACCAAGGGTTCACCTGAAATGAAACACGAGAGCATTAGTACAGTGTTATGGAGTTGTTTAAATGTAAAAACGTTTCTAAGGAAGGTACTATAAGTCCAGAGTGTAGACATGGGGGTACCTTAATTTTCTGCTTCTACCACCATTCCGGAGTGTCATTCTGCCCCTAGTTCTCAAACCACAAGCTATTCCCGTGCATTGGAGAAGCTCAAACAGTAGTTTGTGGTCCGTGCGCATAGCACCCTAATGATTTTTCAACCGTGCAATAGTCCAGTTCTTCCCTGCATTTTTGTTGAACGATTCGCGTAATCGTTCCCACCCTATTGAAGAGAAACACTTTCCATGTCGGTGCCCCTCTGCAGTGACGTGTTCGGCGACGGACATGAAGATCTTCTGCTCTTGAGGTTCCCATCTAGCACACTTGCAGGCCTCCGACTTGTTTTTCGGGATAGGGTTCGATGATACAGCGGGCATGGTGTCAGAATTTTGTGTCGTGTAATTATGCAAAAATGTTGCACATCATAGTTGTAAGAGCTTGTGAGAAAAGAAAAATGCAGTGCAAATGTGTGAAAGAAATGTTCGTGTAGCAGCTCCTCAGTGCAGTGTGATAATGTAATTGTATAGCTCAACTAATTGCTTGCAATATGAGCTTCAATGCCATAACTGTATATAAAAGATCGTGAAGCCTTAAATGGATACTTGGTAATATTTATGTGAATGGGAAAGACTGATATATTGTGAATTCTAAAATAATATTGCGAACTACAAAATGAACTTTTCGTACACATACGATTATTACTAACAATTCCAAGCACGCAATCAAGGTTTAACTGTATGAAGTTTCTGAAAGTATTAGAGAAATGAAGTTGGCACTTGGCAGGGAATAAGGATAGATATAATGAACTCCCAGACTGCAATCAGTTGTTGTTTTTGTAGAAGTTTTTTGTCCAGGGAAATGAAAAGGAGACCAGCCTGCACCACAATGTTGCCACATCTACATCATCACCTACTCCTAACGACCATCAACAGAAGATAAGATTTTCGGACTTCCAAAGGGAAGAACCAGGATCAATGTGTCTTGGAATATGAAGAGAAAAAGGTATAGGACCGATGTTGTATTAGACAGAAGTTGGGCAATCAGAACACATAAATAATTTAAGTGTGACATAGGGTGATGCAAGAAGAGCATTGATATAGCCAACCCCGAATAAGTATTGAACTAGGCTTTGTTGAGTTTAATGGAGTAGGTAAATGCTTCAGAAATGTTTCTCTCTTTTGGGATGCGGACGATATTGATTAAAACATACTTCAAACCTACAGGTTTAGTCAATAAGAAGCCACTGCTACAGAAACATATGTAACGGTGTCACTGAAATGTCGACTTCTCTTTTCTAGAATCACTCAAAATTGGAAGACCCATGTAAATGCTAGTTGATAACTTTAGCAATACCCATTTCATAAAATGGAGAAAGACGGGAGGATAGTCGACATGATATCAATCAAACATAAATGAATTACGTTGCTAATGAAGAAGAACTCAATCAATCAGTCCAGGTCGAGGCCCTGTATCTTCTTGCCAAGCTCAATCAGTGCTCAACAGGATGAAAATTTTGGGCATTTGCGAGTTTTATTTTTAAATCTGTAGTCTTTTACCAGCACAGACGACGTCAATGTACTGTAATTCAAATAGGCATATACTTCCAAGCAAAAAAGCCACAACATCAAGGACTCTGGGCAAGGTGGATCATAGCAGCATAACAAATGCATACACATAAACGATTTGCAAATAAGAAACAGAAAAGAAATAAGTTGTAGTAGTTAAAAATTGGGACCAATAAAGCCTAGGGAAGCAACTGAATGGCGACAGCAGCTTACGTACAAGGTGCATGCAGGCATCACTATCTTTGTAATGGGGATACAAACCGGATGAGGGGGAGAGCAGTAGAGTTGAGAGCATACCATGGTTTTCGGATAATAACCAAAACCGCCGGCGTTGTAGGCCATTTTCGGTTGTTGCAGATCGGAGCCTCAGGAAATTTGTTGCGTAACTGGACTGTGAAGTCTAGCCCAGCTCAGCTGTGATACGTCGTTGGGTTAAGCTATTAAGGACACCGAGCGTGGCCTTGCACAGGGTCAATCGGCACCGTTCGGCTTATCACAATTTTTAACCGGCAATATGTAGCTACAGTTCTCTTCGCCAGATCTCCGTGCACTGATTCGATGGAGATGGAAGGCAATGGGGGATTGGGTTCTTGCAGGGAAGGAGGCCATTTTGTTATTATTGAAGGGCAAATGTGTAAAATGAAAAACGAAGTGAGGGGTGTTGCCCTCAATTTGGTCTATATGTTGTGTGTGCAATTAATAATTCAACCATGTGACTGCTGAGATTTTCAGAAGATAGATTCCAGATAAATGTGATTTAGTGGTCAAAAAGTTTGAAAAATCGAATGAAATGAAAATGTAATGGGGCTCAGACGGTGGCTTAATTATAACCACTCACCACATTTTTTAGTTACAATTATAATTTGTTAATCTAATTTATTTTATAAAAATCGCTGATTTTTCAAATTTACTTATATTTCCAAATGTTGGTAGGTACCATTTTTTCCCCTAATAGTAAGAATAATGAGCTAGACTCTTAGAGGAGAGGAATTTTTTTAGATCAATTAAAACCAACTTGTTGGATGCAAGTATTGGACTATACAAGGAACAAATTTTTATTTGCTTCCTTCCTTCCTTCCTTCCTTCATTTATTTATTTTTTAATTTTTTCAAAACACCATCTATACCTGTGGGCTTATTTTTGTACGTCTTCTCTTCAATATTGTTG